CAGGCACATTATCCATTTCAGTTCGGCCAAATTCCATCCGGCCGAAAAGAACTATCACGTGAACGAGAAGGAGTGTTTGGCTATGGTATGGGCCATCCGCCGGTACAGGCAATACTTTGAGGACCAACATTTCACGCTCCGGACCGACAACAAAGCGCTGATCTGGCTCCAGAACCACCAGGATGACCGCGCTAAGCTGACGCGGTGGTCGCTGCTCCTGCAGGAATTTGCATTCACGGTGGAGCACGTCGCCGGGAAGCATAACCAGCTGGCGGATTATCTGTCGAGGAACCCCGAAGATACCAACGAGGAGCCGCGGGTAAGTTATACAGAGCTAATCCCCACCCCCCGGGTATGTTTGTTGCAGGTCGAGCCGCTAGTGAAGAGGATCTTGGCCGGGCAGCTCGTCGACACCGTAACCCAGGGCCTGGTGCGTCGCATTTCGGAGGCCGAGGTCAACGGTCCCCAGAACGACACCGACCGGACCCTGCTCGAGAACTTCATCGTCTCCGAAGAGAACAACCTGTTCCTGCGGCAACCGGACGGTTCCTGTCGCGTCTACGTGCCCGAAGGAATGCGGACCCAGGTTTTGGAGACCTACCACGCCGGAGACGACGCCGCCCACCCAGGCCAATTGGAGACTTGGAGGGCGATCGACCAACGCTTTCACTGGCCCAAGATGAGAGCCCAAGTGAACCGGTTCGTGAAGAGCTGCTTGACGTGCAAGCAGATCAAGGGCCGGAACCTCCAAGCAGCAGCACCGATGGGCACCCACCAGCCCACGAGAGCATGGCAGATGCTCTCGATTGACACGCTGGGTCGGTACCAGGATGCCGGCCCAGGACCCGAATACGCCATCGTCGTGGAAGACGTCCTCACCAAGTGGACCGAAGCCAAAGCCGTGCCGAACATCACCGTCAAGACGATAACCGCCTACCTGGAGGAGCTGTTCCTACGGTACGGCGCCCCAGAAGTTATCGTTGCCGATTTCGCCGCGCAATTCACCCTCGGCAAATGGGAGCGGTTCTGCCAGCGGTTCGGGATCACCATGAAGAACACGGCCGTCTACCACCAGAGGGCCAACCCAGTGGAGCGCCAGGTCCAGGAGGTGAAGAAGATCCTACGGGCGCTCCGGAAGAACCATCCGCGCGAGAAGTGGTACCGCTTGTTGCCGAAAGCCACCGCTATCTTGCGCTCCAGGAGGAATCGCGCGACGGGAGAGTCACCCGCGAAAGCCTTCCTGGGATTTGAGCCCAAATCCCCGGGAGACTCGTACATCCCCGCCGCCGACGAGCTCCGCCAGGATCGAGAGCAGCACGATGGGCAGCTCCGCCAAAGAAAACGTATTTTCGTGCGAGAATACGTTGGGAACCCGGACGACATCACCGTGGCGTTCACCCGCGGAGACCACGTGCTCGTACGGAACCGCCACCGCGGAGCCCTCGACGACCCGTGGATAGGCCCATTTACGATCCTGAGACGAATTTCACCTGTCATCTACGAGGTGGAGATGGACAACCGCCACTCCCGCCTACATGTAGATGACCTGAGACCAGCACCGACGACGATACAACGCACTTAGGTTAAGTTAATCATAAGTTAGTTTTGAAAAACCGCTGTTCAGTAGGATTACATTGTTATAATTAAGCTAGATATATTGTTAGGGTAGTGCATGATAGGTTAAGTTTCATTTATAAATAAATTAGAGGCTTGATTTTTTTGGGGGGGGCATGTCGACGCCTGGTCAGTGATTGGCTAGCACTCACGCCAGACAGACCAGTTCGACTTGCTTAAAAAGCCGCACAAGCGAGCATTCATTCTCTCTTCCGCGCCATCCTTCGACTGCTCCACATCTAAGGGCCTCTAACCGGGACTTAGATGCCAGAAAGGTCAAGCCTGCTTGCTGAAGATACTCTGTGTTTTACTCAACGACCTACCTTCGCTGCTCGCACATCGGTCCACCCGGACGATTGCTCGCCAGCCTACGCCTAAAAAGAAAGAATTAACTATTCAGTAATCAAGTTACCGACGTATAAAAAGAAAGAAATACTTCGAGTAATAAATTACCACGGGTCGCTGGGTAAGTATTAGGCGACGTTCCACTGCTGCCGCGCAGCCCCACGACGCCTACCATTGCACCGACGCCCACGACTGCCGCGACGCCTCCCGACGCCGCGACGCCCACCGACGCCGGAACGTTCACCGCCACCGCAGCTCCACCGCTCGGCCCCACGGCCCCACTGAATGCCCGTTGTGACGCGAAGCCAGACGTCCGCCGCCCGACACTCCGTACGCGAACCCGCCATGGCCGAGACGCAGACCGCCGGCACGCAGACAACCGGCACGGGCCCCGGCCCGGAGTCCGACACGACTGAAGAGTACCTCGGCGGCCCCGGAGGTAGCGCGGCCCTCGCTCCGCACCTGGACGTACAAGAGACGGCCCTCGGGGACCACCAGACGGGAATGGACCACCTGGGGGACCACCGTCTACAACAGTCAAACGCTTTATTTCTTTAAGTTTAAAATTAATTTCAAGTCCCAAACAAATGCCTAAAATAGAAACAAAAAGGCATTTTGCCTAAAATCCGTTCCTTGTATATGATAATCATATTATGATTACACTATGATAGTTCGATTTACTAAAATTGAGTACGCCCTCCTATATTACCTAATTTTGGGCTACTGATTTAAAAAATTCCACCCGATTTGCTACAGGACGTCTAGGATTTAAAATAATTGCGTAATAAAATGCTCTGCCCAATTATCTCAAAATGTAAGTTTTTCGTTAATATTTTGATTCTTTATTAAATTATTTTGCCTTAAATCTATTTGAATGTTCAGTATATTTTTGACGTTTTTTGTTAAAAATATACAGGGACTACAAATGTCAAATAGGATTTTTTTTGTTCCATTGTAGCCGTATACTATAGTAGTATTATATAAGGGATATTTAATAAAGCACTTTTCTGTTGAGAAGTGCTTTATTAAATACCAAAACTAAAATTATAATGTTTTTTTGGTAAAAATGGGTTATTCACATCTTGCCTAAAGTACCCAGAAATTTAATCTCGAATCTTATTTATTAAGTCTTATCAAAATTTAATATCGAATTGAAGTATAAAGGCGCTTTTATCTACTTTATCGTTCAAGCACACTAAAGTGCATCCATTAATTATTGACATTTAAAATTTAAACTTTAAATTGTATTTTTACTTGAAAGTGATTTTAAGAACCAAAAATGAAAAAAGAACAGGAAATGGAAGACATGAATGACATATTAACGCTAATTCTTTGCAAAACAAAAAACTTTTTTCAATGAATTGGCGCCAATTTTAGGCCCGATATGAACCAAGAACATTTTCAATGACAGCTTTAACACTGCCATATGCGACAACTTTGAGAGCATTTTTGAATGCTTGATCTTTCATTAAACATCGTATATCAGGTCCATTTAATATTCCTGCAAAATTAAAGTAGTAGGTATATCTCATAAAATTTTGTAATGAAATATTGCGTTAGTTTTTCTTGGGCGTAAAGGCACCGCAACAAAATAAAACAAATTTACAACGACAACATAAATGTTTGTCTCCTTTCTCTTTCTCTGCCACTTCCATTACCTGGACAAGGAAGACCGCGATCAACAAGTTGAAGACCGTTTTCTTCGACTTCAAGTTCTGCAAGACCGGACACTTCCTGCTACAGCCTTGTCTAGGAGATTGGCAGATACTGTACTAAGAAGACTGAGGGAACATAATTTAGTGCCCCATCGACCTGCCACTGGCCCACTGTTGGACGCAGCCCATCGTAGACAGCGCTTGGAATTTGCGCGAACCCATGTCGATTGGGGAGGTGTAATGGTTTGGGGAGGCATTTCTTTGGAGGCTCATACGGCACTTATAACCTTTCAAGGGCGTAGTATAAACGCTGACAAGTACATAAGAGAGTGTCTTGAAAAACATGTGGTACCTTATGCACCATTTATTGGAGACCAATTCTTATTTATGCAGGATAATGCTCGGCCACACACAGCCCCGGTAACGCGTCAGCAGGGCCGGGCCTAAGGGGGGTGTAGGGGGGGAGTCACCCCCCCCCCAGCCTAGGCAGTTGGTTTCAAATCCAAACACGGTTGGCAAAATCTATACTATAGTATTTGGGTCGGTTAGTTGGGTATACCTACCCTACCAACCAACCCATCACAATAAATAAAATAAAATATAATTTTTAAACTAAACATATTACAAAACTACTATAATCGTTACCGTCAAGAAAATTGTATTGGTCAACCCTGTTTTTATTTAAGGACATTATATTTCAAACAAAGCGTACAAAGTCGGCACCGCCTTGCGGCTTTGTCTTTGGCGGCGTTTGACTCTTTTTACGCACCGCAATTTTCGGCGTCTTATTTTTCTAGATTATTATTTAGTTGAAGCTTATCTAAGCTAAGTAAAACTAGTGTCAATAAATAGGAATTAATTTCTCTTTTTAATATGGAAAAGAAAGCTAGACCGAGTTCTAGTAAAATGCTCATTATGTGGATCTGTGTTTAACAAGGACTATAAAAAATGCATGAGAAAAATATTCACGGTGAAAATTTGGTTAAAATTAAACGTGTTGCTATTCCGGAAAATCCATTTACATTGGCAGCAAGTCAAAAAAAGAGAGAACGAGAATCAATCCCATCGATGGAAAGAGCATGCTAATGGTAGGTAAATACATTCTTTATCTACGCTTTACAGCACATTACCTACATGATAAATCTACTGAAAATTTTTACTATTACTACTGAAGTATCGATACAACTTTTTTGAAAATATTTCTACAAATATCAACGTCGACAGTAGTACTAAAGGAAAAGCATATGGCCTTTTTAAACGCATTTTAAAATTTGATTTTGTTTGTGTTTATTTTTTTTTAAGATGAAGGTTGTTACCTAAATTTTTGAATCCAACAATTTAAATGTTATTGATGCATTTTCAATTATAAATAGTACCAAAAATACCATGCAAACTATAAGATCAAGTCCTGATGAAGTAAATAACCTAATTGAAGCCTCCAAAAAATTTTCTGCATCATTACATGTCAACGAAAACGAAGATTTTAGAAGGCATCATCGACGGAAAGTTATTCCAAAAAGGTTGGACCAACAAAATGAAAATGCCGCGCTCATGGATACAAACGAATTTAATCGGCACGAACTCTTTCAAGTTTTAGATGTTCTAATCAGTTTTTTGGAAAAAAAATTATCTGTCCTGAAAATTATACAACCTTTAATAGACATATTTTCTTTCCCATTGTCCAAAACAGCTATTATGAACTATAAAAATATTGAAGCGGCGGTGTTATTATATCATTCCAATAAACCCGATCCAGGTAGTTTACAGGGCGAACTAGAGGTATTTTTTGATATTTGTATAGAGAAAAAGGCGGCTTTCATGGAATAGGTGATGAAAATTACCATTGAACAAAAATATGTTTTAATATATAGCTTTCTTTTTTGCCAACTTATCTACACCGCCGCGTATTCAGTTGCAACAAACGAGCGTAAATTTAGCACTTTAAATTATTTAAAAAACACGTTACGTACCAGCATGTCTAACGATCGCGATCGATCGGTTAGATTTTCTTAATGAGCCTGAAAAGCGAGCGCGATATAACAGATAACAGAATTATCAACTGCGATCGACTCTTGGGAACGTCTCCCGGGTTATTCTTTGGTATATGTAGGTCCTGAAAAAATCCTTCGTATGGCACATATCAGCCCCACGTACATAACGATCAATGTTTAGCTGTGCTATCACTAAATATTGCAACCCATCGCTACTTATAGTTAACCACAGTTCTTAATCAGAAGTGAGATGTATCGCTTATGCCGCAGCATGCCGGATTCTGGCCGCTTTTGGTTGATAAGTGGCCCAACGGTAACCTGGGTAACATAACGCCGACCATGGTCCGCTGAGGGCAAGCCGAACCGCCGGTCTACCGCCTATGCCCAGCGGTGGCCGACTGTTTGCCAAGTGTTTGGTGCTTACTGGACCATTTGCCCATGAGCGCCCAATATCTAGGTTGTAATATTATGGTTCGAACGATTGGATATGCGCTGTCAGGATTTCACTTTCACCCCGCATATATAAGTGGGGATCTGTGCCGTTTTATTTCTATGTTATCGGTGCCAAGCACCCAAGATGATATAAAAGGCAAAACAGAGCAATTAAAAGCTTTCTTGATCCCGTCAGACCGACCCCGCAAACCTGAATTATTTAAAGTACTATTGTTACCTCTATCCATAATTCATAATTATTACAATTATTTTCCTTTTGTACAGCATTGGTTTATTTAATTTATTTTCTAGTTAATGTTTGCTACAAATGCGACCTTTAGTTTTTTATTAATTTTTGTAACGTTATTACATTAGTTCCATTAGTATTAGTTATTTTTAATTTATATACTGAGTGTTCGATTTCACATACATTATTGTGCATTTACTTAATTCATTTCGTATTGTTCTGTAAATATGACGTTTTATTTTATTTCAATATATGTATTAATTTAAAACATTGCATTTTAATTTTTATACAGGGTGTCACCTAATAAATTGTCATACTTTGGGGGGATGATAGTACAAGCCAAAACAAGAAAGTTTTTTCTCTATCCTTTTTGCATTAGAGCTTCTGTTTTTTAACAAAAAAATTAAGAAATTTTTTTGACAAAACCAGGGAGCCACTGGATGTCACTGACCTATCCTATATATCATCATTGTTTTTACCTCTAAAGTACTGCAACCGTGCCTATCTCATAAACTTTTTTGAAGAACGATGATTGCTTTCTTTCTTCTTTAAGTATCCAAGGTTAGACAAATACAAACAAAGGTTTTCGGTAAAAACTGGAAAAAAGGATTAAACCCACATATCATATTTTAATGTTACATGATTTTAAAAATTTAAAAAGTAGCATAAATGTGTCCTGCAATGGACTAGCAACTACAGCGTTAATGGATAATGGAAGGGGGTGGCCCAATAAAATAAGACTATTAATTTAATCCCTAATTTTATTTTCAAATAATCTACAACTAAAAAATATATGATTCAAGTTCAAGTGTGACCCACAAGGACACAAGGGATCATCCTTAATTCGTATTTTAAATAGATGCTCAGGGGAACAACAGTGCCCAAATCTAATTCTACATATGGTGGTAATAAATTCTCTACTGGTATATTTTAAATATTTCTGCGAACCATGAAATTTTCCACTGTTTAATAAAGCATAGTGAGAGAAGAAACCTTCCACAAACTCCACCAATCATCATTTACCTTTTTGTTTGACAAGGCTAACAAATCCTCTGATGGTATTTTTATTTCTTTTTTGATACTTACTCTTGTCACCTTTGTCAACTTATCTGCATACTTATTCCCCAATATGGCCACATATCCAGGAATTCAACGAAGTTGAATATTCCCGCCCTTACTTAGGATATCAAAGTAAAGGCTTCGAATTCCCAGAACAGTATTACTAGTTTTACTATTGATTTGACTCTTATCAATTTTTAAGGGTGAACTGTATGAATCAGAGAAAATTACAGCTTTTTTTTATATTTCTCCTGTGTACTGCAGCCATGGCAAAATAAATTGCATATAGTTCTGCAGTGAAGATTGTAGCATGACTACAAATCCTCACAGCCTTCTTAAATTTTACATTAGGGATATATAAACTGAACGATGTAGATGCTTGAGGAAAGACCGATCCCTCTGAATATATGTAAGAAAATTCAGGCCATTTATGTTCTATAAAATTTCTAAAAATCACATTAGCGGCACTTTCACACTTTTTATTAATACCCACATTATGGGAGATGAGAATATGAGCAAATTGTCTAACCAGGTCCAACTTAAATATAGGGAAAACTTGATTTACTATAATCAAGTCCCTAAGAGTTGAAAACCTCAAATAGGAATTAAGGAGGAAAATTTCATAAGAGTAAACGTAAACGTGTCTTTTGGCAGATGACTCAACTAGGACTTTCATTACATCCAACTTGCTTGTAATCAAAGAAACTCTAAAGGACAAAGATTTTGGTATATATTTATCAGCATAAGGAATAGGGGGGGTCCCCAGCTTCTATTTGTAAAGAATTAGTGGAAGTAGAATTCATTGCAGATTCTTAGAGCATCATATTGAAACCTATCCAGCATATATTGAACAAATTTAGGCATCATGTCAAACACAGAAGAACAGTAATCTAATCATGATTTTATTAAACCCATATACACCAATATAAGTATTTAAGGGTCACAACCCCACCACACCCTAGTTAGACTTTTGAGAACATTCCCCAGTCTAAAGCATTTATTGTAAACGTCGGTGACATGTAGTTTCCAATTTAAACGTTTGTCAAAAATAACCCCTAAGAACTTGTAATTATCAACTAAATCTATCCCGGAATTTACAATTTTAAATCGGTTAGGGCAAGTTGACTTAGTAAAAAGGATGGCTTTACATTTTTCGGCTCTCAGAGACATACCCCTATCCTGAAGCCATTGAGACATCGAATATAGTGAAGAGTTAAATTATGTTTCTGATAATTTAACATCTTTATGGGTAGAATACAAAACAATATTATCTGCATACTGCAGAATGTTTACGTCTATACCCACCGCATCCAAAATAGATCTAGTGTAGACATTAAAGAGCAAGGGACTTAAGACCGACCCCTGATTGAGGCCTTTATAGGAGATTCTGCATAACTTTATCCCCATGAAGGATTCACTTCAACATTTTTTTGTACGTTAATTTATATATTATTTCAATCCAGTTCTTTGGGATACCTATTTCTTTAAGTGCCTGACTAAGTATTTCCGGAATGACGTTGTCATATGCTGATGCAATGTCCAAGAACAATGTCAGGGTTTTTTTTCCCAAACTCTGAACCCGAATTGGAAAGGTGGAGGAAAATTATTATTTTCAATCCACCATTCCATACTGTCATGTGTTGATACACATGCGCGATTATACGTACATGCGTATAGGTATGGAAGGAATTCGACCACTTGTCTTTGAACCACAGTAGCGATAACATGTACCTATGTAACAAAATTAATGTAAAAGTGTGAACCAAATTAAATGTGATATTTACCAAAATAAGTAGTTTAACTAATAAAACTAAAGTGCCTACCACCCATACTCAACAGTGGCGATGAGGATTTACAAGGATTGTTGAAATATTAATGGATTTAAGAAGACAGCGTGCGGTGTGCTAAGATGGCTGCTAAATTTCAATTCAAAGAATTTGACCCGATCAATGATGACTTCCAGATTAACACTGAACAACTGGAACAGTATTTCGTATCAAATAGCATTACGGAAGACAAGGTGAAGACGGCAGTAATTTTAAGTTCCTTGAACACGTCCACATACAAACTCTTAAGAAGCCTGACTTTTCCAGAATTACCAAAAAGTAAAAAATACTCAGAGACAATTGAACTGTTAAACAGCCAACTGACATCAAATAATTGTATTTGGCGGGAACGGAAAAAATTTTACGCAATTTGCCATTCAGCAAAGCGAAGGCGAAACAGTTGCGGAGTGGTTTGCCAAAATTAAAACGTACGCCAGTAAATGTGAGTTTGGTGAAAGTCTCGAAAGCGTGCTCAAAGACAAATTTGTGAGTGGCATTAGAGAATCAAAAATTTTCGACAGACTATGTGAATTAAAGCATGATGCCAAATTTGAAGAAATCAGGGAAACAGCCCGGAACAAAGAAAATGTTGAAAAGGAAAGAAAAGGAGCTGTTTACGCGGTGGAAAAGTCAAAATTCCCGCGCAATTCCAGCAAGGGCGGAGCTTACCAAAATGGTAGGGAAAATCATGGTGGTTATGTTGGCAGCAATGAAGCAAAGAAAAATGGCAAACACAAAGAATTTCCGAGGTCAACAAGAAGTTATGAAGGAAATGGGTGCAAAATATGTGGTAACCGTCATGGGAGAAGTAAATGCAAATACTTCAACTGGAGGTGTCGACATTGTAAAGGCAACCACACTGACAGAATGTGCAACAATAAAGTCTTTGCAGTGGCTGTAAACAATAGTTTAGATCAGGTAAATTTTATGGACGTATTAGCTTGTTTTAAGGATAAAAATAAAGAATTTATAAGTAATGATTTCACAATTAGGCTCAATATTAATAATAATCTAATTAAATTTTTATGTGATAGTGGTTCCACAATAAGTTGTATAAATTTGAAAACTTATGAATTGTATTTGAGAGATTTTAACATAATAAAAGAGGAAATAGTATTTAAAGGGTATAATAATAGTAAGTTTAAACCTATAGGGTTTCTTAAGGCCAATATTAACTATAATAACCGGTTTAAATCGCTAAAATTATTTGTATTTAAGGAGGCTTCAGTTAACTTGTTGGGAAGAGATTTCTTGCAAGCCTTTAATATAAAA